AGCCAGGGAAGTAGACGGGCCAAAGCTGAGCTCAAGCAATGGCCCTGAGCTCTTGCGGTCGAAGGCACAGAGCTAGCGAGAGCATTAGGGGTTAACCCATACGTTGGAGCGCGACAATCCGAAGGAAGTCGACGGCGTGCCTTGAGTTTGGCAAACTCAAATTGAAGGTGTCGCTCCGCACGCACGTCCACTTCCTTGTGAATTAACTGTAGATTATAGAGTGAGGAAACTTTCCGGTGCCGTTGCACCCATCGCTCAAAGAGCGCTTCGTCATCTGTAGTGCTTTCGCCAGGGGCGAGCACTACAAGTATCGTCCGCATTGCGGGTACACGAGAACCACCTCGTTGAGCACGTAGACGAGTGCAATAACGTCTAACGGAATCTCTTGTGGGACCAAGAAACGAGCTCGAAAAGCTTCCCTTGTGGCAAGTTCATCTTCCGTTTAAGCCGGGGACCCGATGATGTGGACGCGTAACGATCGAGTTACCGCGTCCTTCGCTTTACAGCGGGATACGCTAGGCGGATCAACGCGAGGGTCAATCACCGGCCGTGGATGGGCGCGCTTCAAAGTCACCATATGGGCAGCTTCCAGCTGCCGTCTTTGAGCTTCGTCGAGGTCATTGGTGATTGCACCAGGTTCCTCGGTTGATGAGAAGTCAGGGAACTGACATGGGGTCCGCAAGGAGCGAGCGGGGCTCGTATTACGCTGCTGACGCAGCTCGCCTTCCTCGTCATCCCATGCGGGAAAAAAGGTGTCAGACTCGAAATCGACCACCTCCACATCTTCAACGAGATCACTCGTCATTGATCGCGTGCACAAAGCGCGACGCTCGTGCTTACGAGCCTAGGTTGTACATCCCCCGGCGCCGCGGACGCACTGTCCGACATCCGCGTGCGGGAGACGAAGTTGGGCTCTGCTCGTGCTCGCTGTCAGAACCAGCGAAACTTGGTGACTTCCGTCTCATGGACACAACGCTCATTGAGCAAGAAAGTTGTTTAGTTCCAACGAATTAAGCTGTAGTGTCTAGCGGACACGCGAGCCTCGTTGAGGCAACACTCGATTGGAACTGTAAATGCTCTCAATCATAATGGGGGAGGGTGTAACGGGGTTTCACGTACCCTGGTAACAGGGGTGTGTGTCACACGAGATGTGCATGGTTGGTGTGACTGCACCCAAACAAGAATACGGTATGTGGCTAGGTAGACAGTAGTTATGCATGTATTAAGATTTTACTATATCTATATAGTATATTTAGGACAATCTAAACTTTTAAAATTAGGATAACTAAATAAATAAAAATCAGTTCTGGATTCTAAACCGAACAGTCGATTAGCCTTGGGAAGGCAATAATTACTCTTGGATTAAGCGGATTGCGATCCGCTAACTCGTACTTGTTCTAAGTATAGAACGCAGGGTCGGTGACCTAAATAACGCTTCTCCAAGTGCTAAGCTACGGCAGCCCTGCTGTTATGAACCTCAGAAGCGGGAGCTTGTAGCCTTTTATCAAGGTATTACTCGAGCGATTCGGGCAAACCAAAGCAGATACTGTGCCTGTTTTCTCTGTTTTTTTGTATTGCGTATGTGAATGCCATTTGAAAAAACATCACTCTGCGATATTAAGGTTGCGAAATGTA